TCGCCTCCGCCGGGGCCCAGACCAGCCATGGCCCCAGACACGTAGCAGGGACCAAGATCCTGCCTTTCTTGGGGGAAACAGGTGGAAGGGAGAGGAGCCCGAGACTCGAAAGATCAAAGGAGCCACAGGGAAATTCCGAGGTGGGCAGGAGAGGGGCGAGGCACCTCCAGGTGCGGAGCGCGCCGGGCAGGGAGCGGCACTCTCGGGCGCGCCGGCTCCGCCAGGGGGAGCGGGCGAGTGTGGGGGGGGAGAGCCGAAGGCAGGGGCGCCGGGAGCCGGAGGCACGGGCGGTGGCGGTGGGAGCTCCAGCTCCGGCACCTGCTGAAATGTGGGAGCCCCGGGTGGGGGGAGGCGTTGCCAGGACGACCGAGAGGGCGGGGTTTCGGCTTAAAGGCGCTCCCCTCCTGGAGACTCGGGACAAATGTCCTCCCTCCCCGCCCCCTACACGTGCACACACCCACTCCGAGGGTTGGCTGGAGGGAGGGGCATCCTCTTAGCCTGGCTCCCCCACACCCTGCAATCTGTCATCCTGCCCTGTGTTCCTCCCTCACTAGGGTGCCTCGTGCGTCCTGTGGGCGCCCTGGGGTCCCTGTGTCTGACCCTGCCCCTCTCCTTCCATCAACAAACTTTATGCCCAGGGCTAGGAATCCAGCGGTGGACAGAGAAGCTGCTGGGGCCTCACTTTCTCTGATGCTACCCGAGTCTTTATTTCTCCCCCGGCCTCTTCATTCTTTGTATGGCTGTCTCTGCCTGGAAGTGTCTTTCTTGTGACCTCTGTTCCTCCTCTCCCTCTATTCCCAGATCGAGCTTTCTCCATGTGTCTCTGTTTCTGCCTCTCGGAGGATGTTTTCTTTTCCCTGTCTCAGAGAAATGCTGTTTCTATTTCTTACTCTTTCTCTATTTCCTCTGCTGTGTGTCTCCATCTGTATCTGTCGCCATCTCTGGGTCTTGGTGTCTCGGCCCTTCTTGGGGTCTTGGTCTGTCTCATGGTGAATCAGTCTGCCGCTGTCTCTCCCTCTATGTCTGATAAATCCTTCCGCCCCTGTCTCCCTGAGTCCGTCCCTTTCCCTGTCTTTATTTGTCTCTCTGGCTCTGTGAATCTCTGTCTCTCCCTCCATCTTCCTCTTGATCTCTTTGGGAGTCTGTCTCTGTCTCCCTCTCTGGGGGTGGCTCTCTAGGTGCTTGGCCCTGTCTCTCCCTCTCTCTCCTCACCTCCACGCCTGTCCTTATAAATGCTTTTGTCTGTGTCTCTCTCCGTTTCTCCGGCTCTGCAACTCTGTCTCTGTTTTTGTTTGTCTCTTCCTGTATCTCTCTGGTTCCATCTGTTTCTCTGTGCTTGTCCTTCTCTGGCTCTGTCAATCTCTCTCTCTGTCACCGGGTAGGGGTGGGGGAGTCTTTCTCCCTCCTCTCTTCTCTGTCTATCTCTGTCTCTCCCTTTCTCTCTGACCCCATCTCTATTTGTCTCTGTGGCTCTTTGAATCTCTTTCTGTCTCTGGGGGTCTCCCCATTCCTCTGTGTCTGTGATTCATTCTATCTGTGTCTCTGGCTCTGCGAATCTCTGTGTCTCTCTGACTGTCCAAATCTCTCTGTGTCTCTGGCTCTCTGAATCTCTCCGTTTGTCTCTTTGGCTCTGTGAATCTCTGTTTATGATTCAGGATTTATGAATCACTCTACAGGTCTCTGAATCTCTCTGTTTCTCTGGCTCTCTGAGTCTCTGGCTCTGGCTCTGTGACTCTCTGTCGAGGGTCTCTAGATAGAGACTTCCCTCCCTGTGTCTCTGCGATTCAGTCTCTCTGTCTCCCTCCTCTCTTTTCTGTGCCTCTGTCCTCTGTCCCCCTTCTCTGACCCATTCTACGTGTCTCTCTGGCCCTGTGAATCTCTCTGTCTCTGAGGTCTCTCCCTCCCTCTGAGTGTCTCTGTAATTCAATCCCTGTCACCCTCTCTCTAGGCGTCCTCTTTGTGCGCCCCCTCTCAGGAAGGGGGGTTCTCTCCGAGGGCCGGCGCGGTCCGTCTCTTCCGGCCTCCCCACCCCTTGGTCGCTCTCCCTGCGTCCCCGCCTTTCTCTTGTGGGGCTCTGAGCCTCCCCAGCTCGAGAACACTTTCCAGTACCCGCTCCGGGAGATCCGCTCTGTTGCCAGTGGCAACCACGGCCCGCCCCGGGCTGCGGGGCGCAGTGCATTCTGGGACTTGTAGTCCGAGCCTGAGGACCAGCCGTTCTCTGGACGCGGCCGAGAACTCCGTCTCCCGGCGTGCCCCGCGAGGCTGGGCGGGACGCTGCGGCTGCGCCTGGGGGGACTCTGGACGCCCAGCACACCTTCTCTGGGACTTTTTAGGGGTCCTGGGCGGGTTTCCGGGGATTCCCAAAGCCGAAGGGAAAGTGGGGGAATCCGAGTCCTCTTGTAACCACTCTCTCCCCAAATGTGGAGTCCACTGGCCTTCCAGCCACTTCCAAGTGACCTAGGGCGAAGGATAGGGGTCGGGGAAGGCCGCGAAAACCGACCTGGGAATCCCACCACTTCTAGTCCAGCGTCCTTGGGTTCTTTCCCGAGTTAACCAGCGTATCACCCCAGAGTTCTATAGCTGTTCTCTCGGGTGCCTTCCAGAAGGGATTCAGGCATGGGATGGGAGAGAGGAGTGTGGGCGAGGCGTCCTTTGAGAAGACAGCGATGGGGTGGGTTGACGCTCAAGAGCGGTCGCTGCAGAAATGGAAAGGAGGCCTTTCCTCACTCAACGGGTGTGTGCCCCAGCTGGCCCTTCTCTCTCCCCTTCCAGGGAAACCCCTCCTTGCCTTGCGGTATCTCTACCCAATTGCTTTTGCGGATGTAGATGCAGAAAGGGGATTGTGTGATCCTAGATTTTTCTTTAAAACTTTTTTTTGTTTTAAATAGAGACGAGGTCTTGATATGTTGCCCGGGCTGGCCTCAATCTCCTGGGCTTAAGCGACCCTCCCGCCTTGGCCTTCCAGTGTTGGGGACTACAGGCACGAGCGTCCGCACTGGCTGATCCTGGAATTTTGTAGGGTTTATCTACGTTTGTGTATTTGTGATTCTTCTGAAGTTGGTGAAACGGACAAGATGACCTTCTGTGGGGCAGAGATTCGTCGCAGTAGTTCATCTGATCTGTATGAAGGTCTTCTGTTGACCAGGTGTATTCAGGGGCTTAGATTGGAGGGTAAGGGAGGAGCTGAGAGGGGAATGTAGGCGGGATCAGATCTTGAAGGCCAGGCCCAGGGGATTTGATAGTGCCTACAGAACACGTGGCACGGGCTAGAAGACTTCAGCAGGGAAGGGCAGGATCAGATCTGCAGGTTGGAAGAATCCCTCTGTGCCAGGGTGGGATAGTAGAGGAAGAGGCTGGGGCAATACCTCAGGTGAAACAAAATGGAATATGAGGCTGGGTGCAGTGGCTTGCACCTGTAATCAAGCACTTTGGGAAGCTGAGGCGGGTGGATCACCTGAGGTCAGGAGTTCCAAAGTAGCCTGGCCAATGTGGTGAAACCCCATCTCTACTAAAAATACAAAAAAATTAGCTGGGCGTGGTGGCACATGCCTGTAATGCCAGCTACTTGGGAAGCTGAGGTAGGAGAATCGCTTGAACTTGGGAGGCGAAGGTTGCAGTGGGCTGAGATTGCGCCGTTGCACTCCATCCAACCTGGGCAACAAGAGTGAAACTCCATCTCGAAAAAAAAAAAAAATGGAAATTTGAGCTGGGCCAGGAACCTAGAGAAGAGGGTGGTAGAAATGGTATTTAGGAGGAAGAATACTGTTTGATGAGGGACTAGGAGATGGGAGAAGGTAAGATGATGTGCTTGGCTCTCAGCCCAGAGAATGGGGAGCCTGGGAGGAAGAGGTGATTTGGGAGGAAAACTCCTTGACTCAAATTGGGACATTGTATTTATGAGGTGCTCAGGGCACTGACTCCAAGGAGGGAGAAACTAGTTCATTTCTCTCCCACTCAACCTTCCTGGTTTGAGTAAGTCATTTAGAAGACCCAGACTCAGCTAGGATCTTCTGATGAGGCCAAGGTTATCCTGGCTCCAACCCTATTCTCCCACTAGACACAAGAATCTGGCCCTTGCCCCTCTCCGAAAGACCTACCCATTTATTTATTTTTTTGGTAGAGACGGAATTTCACCATGTTGGCCAGGCTAGTCTCAAACACCTGGTCTCACGTGATACTCCCACCTCGGCCCCCCAAATTGCTGGGATTACAGGCGAAAGCCACCATGCCCAGCAGCCCTCCCAGTTAATAAAGCACAAGTCCTTCTTGTATCTTTATATTGACATTTAAAGAAAAAGAACGTGATGGATAGGGGAATGGGTGAAGGAACAAGGCTTCTATGATTAACAGCAAGAGCTGATGGGAACCAAAAGCTCCAGGGAATTAAAAAAAAATAAAATATATATTTATACATTTATATATATATGTTATGCATGTGAGTCCCAGACAAGCAGGCAGCAGCAGCAAGAAGCAACTAGCACACAGAAACACCCGTGTGTGCGTACCACACATTCAAGCAAAGCCATCCCTCCAGCTAGGACAGCAGCAAGCCCCACCCTCCCCCCCACCGTCAAAAGACAACAGCTGAAAAGAAACTTCCCTGTTTAAAAACCACTCCGTAAATTTTTCCCCCATGACCAGGAAAAAGAAAAGAAAAAAAACAAAACAAAACCAATAAGGCTGATTTTGCCTTGAAGGCGGGCAGTGGCCATTTTCTTCTCCTCTCTGCCAAAGCAGGACACATTATTTTTAACACGGAGGGTCACATCACTGTCCCTCACAAATACTTCAAACAGTTGTCTTCAACATCCTGTGGTTCTTTGTCTAACTCTTTTTTGAGACAGTTTTGCTCTGTCACCCAGGCTGGACTACAGTGGCACCATCTCGACTTACTGCAGCTTCCACATCCTGAGTTCAAGGGAGTCTCCTGCCTCAGCCTCCCGAGTAATTGGGATTAAAGGCATGCGCCACCACGCCTGGCTAAGTTTTTGTATTTTTAGTAGAGATGCGGTTTCACCATGTTGGCCAGGCTGGTCTTGAACTCCCGACCTCAGGTGACCACCTGCCTTGGACTCCCAAAGTGCTGGGATTACGTGCATGAGCCACCATGCCTGGCCCCAACTCCTTTTTTTTGATACCACAGAGAATAGTTGGGACGAAAGGCATCCAGCCCTCGCTTCTTTTAAGATGGCCTCTAGGCAGTGGGTGTTCTGTAAGCCTGGCAAAAATTCTGGAGCCAATCTCTGGCAAGGCTGAGTACCAGACGGGGCCTAGGGACCCAGGGTATGTGCTTAAAGCCTCCCGCCCATTGGAAATTACCTTCAGATATATATATATATATTTAATTTAAAGGGGAGGTTCACTGCACACCCTCCTCCACTAGGAGAAAGGGGGCCCAATCCCCAGCTACCCACCCCCCACCCCCCAAACACACACAAACACACACACACACACGTACACACTAAGGCACAGCGGGGCGGGCAGGCATGCTTTGGCAATGGGGCCCCTTGGGAGGCTGTGGCATGGATGGCTGCAAGGGGTGTGGATGTGTGGAGCTCAGCACCTTTGGAGGTGGGTGGGGGCAGGGAGAGAAAGAAGTCCCAGGGCTCCCGAGGACACAGGAGAAGGTGGTTGGGAAACAGATGAGAAAGCCAACAGGAAACCCGGCAAAGAGATGAGAAAAAAACAGTGGAAAAGAGAACAGGCTGGGCACGGCGGCTCATGCTTGTCCTCCCAGCTGCTTGGAAGGCTGAGGCAGGAGAACTGCCTTAACCCAGGAGGACAAGGTTGCAGTGAGCGGAGATCGTGCCACTGTGCTCCAGCCTGGGCCACACAGTGAGACTCTGTCTTTAAAAAAAAAGAACAGAAAAAGAGAAACATCTCAGGGATGAAACAGGATGTGGGCAGCAGAGCAACAGCGAGAGGAAAGGGAAGATGCATCCAAGAACTGCTTAGAGTTTGATGAACTGGAAGGGAAAGGGCAGGGAGGGGACACTGGAAAACAGTAAAGAAGTCCTCAATAAAGAAAACTCAGACAAGAAGAACGAAGAGGTCTGGAGAGAGAATGGGAGCCTCTTGGGAGAGAGTCTTAAACCTTGACAAAAACCAGGTGGGCAGAGTACACCAGGTCGGCCACATACGCCAGTAGGTTGATGGCCGTCAGGATGGCCACAGCCAGCCGGCGGTCCCAGTCACACACGTAGTAGTTGTGTCGGTTGCCACAGCTCACATCTCTCGCGCGCCGGGGCTGGCCGCCATACTTCTCGTCGAACTGGTAGAGTGGCCAGAGGACGAGGGCAGTGGCGTAGAGGAGGACAGACAGCAAGGCCAGCCCCGACAGGAAACTGGGGAAGGGGATGGGCAGCACGTTGGTGCACTCTCCCAGGTTCAGCAGGATGGCGACGGCTGCCAGGATGAAGCAGATGGCATAGACCGCCACGCACCACTCCAGGGCAGGTTGGTGCTGGTACAGGTGGGCGCTGCTGATGAAGACAAAGATGATGCAGGCCACGAAGGTCTCCAGCACCTTCAGCAGCCCTGGCACGGTGGCCATGTAGCCTGTGATCTCGCCGGGCCGTGCCCGGGTCCAGGCCACTTCGGTGGCATAAGCCACGCAGGCGACGCAGGAGAAGAAGGTGGCGGCGATGGCGTGGTCCCGGGAACGGCCATGGGACATGAACTGGACATAGGTGGTGGGGTAGATGATGGAGGCTGAGAGGCAGAAGAGGGCTGCATAGCAGGCGAAGGTGATGGGGAAGTTGCGCCAAGACAGGGGGAAGCGGGCCTGGAGCCCGCACAGCTCCACGATGAGGATGATCAGAGTCACGGAGAAGCAGAAGCACCAGGTGAACATGGACCAGTTACCCATGAACCCCGTCCAGGCGCCCACGCTGGCCACCAGAGAGAAGGCCACGCAGGTGGACACCAGCTGCAGCAGGCGAAGGAGACCCAGGGGCTGAGTTAGGGCTCGAGGGGACCCCACGATGGTGGGGGACCCCAGGCCCGAGGATGTTGTCATGGTGGTCGTGACAGTTGTGCGGGTAACCGTCACTGGCATGGCTGCAAAAAGGGGGAAAGACAGTAGCCTTATAAGGTGACAGACCTAATAATCCAGGTCCCCTAGCAGTTACGTGCCCCAGGGAGAAATTAATATGAGCTCTAGTTAGAGAGTTCCCAAGAGGTGGGCTTTGGGTTGTCTTTTTTTTTTCTTCTCCAACTGGAGTTTCGCTCATTGCCCAGGCTGGCGCGATCTTGGCTCACTGCAACCTCCACCTCTCGGGTTCAAGCGATTCTCCTGCCTCAGCCTCCTGAGTAGCTGGGATTACAGGCGCCCGCCACCATGCCCAGCAATATTTTGTATTTTTAGTAGAGACAGGGTTTCACTATGTTTGCCAGGCTGGTCTCAAACTCCTGAGCTCAGGCGATCCAGCCGCCTCGGCCTCCCATATGCTGGGATTATAGGTGTGAGCCCCCACACCCAGTTTGTTTGTTTTTGAGACAGAGTCTCCCAGGCTGTAGTGCACTGGCACGATCTTGGCTCACAGTAGCCTCTGCTGCTCAGGTTCAAGCAGTTCTCCTGCCTCAGCCTCTGAGCAGCTGGGATTACAGGCACATGCCATCACACCCAATTAATTTTTATTTTTAGTAGAAACGGGGTTTTACCAGGTTGGCCAGGCTAGTCCTGAACTCCCGACCTCAGGTGATCTGCCAGTCTTGGCCTCCCAAAGTGCTGGGATTACAGGTGTGAGCCACTGAGCCCAGCCTTGGGTTTTCAAATGGGGACAGTCCTGGGCAAACAGGGATGAGCCCGTCCCCTCTGTTTCTAGGCTCTCTCCTCCCCTCCCTGTATCAGAACCCAGGAATCTAGGCCCCTATTTTTCTCCTTCCCAAGAGACTCTTCTCTCTTTCGGGTCCTAACTATTGTAGAACGACATTTTTGTGCCTCCCACTCCAGATACCGTGCTTCCCTCTTTCTCTCATTCCCCCAGGGACTCAGTAACACGGCCATGTAACACTGTCTATCGCACCATCCCTCTGGCCAGGCTTGGGTGTGGCTCATGCCTGTAATCCCAGCACTCTAGGAGGCTCAGGCAGGAGGATTGCTTGAGCTCAGCAGTTTGAAACCAGCCTGGGCAACCTTGGGAGACCTCATTTACACACACAAAAAAACAAAAAAATTTAAAAATTAAAAATTAGCTGGGCATGGTGGGGGGGGATGTGTGTGTGGTCCCAGCTACCTGGGAGACTGAGGTGGGAGGACTTCGTGAGCCTGGGAGGTTGAGGCTGCAGTGAGCTGTGACTGCACCACTGCACTCCAGCTTGGGAGACACAGTAAGATCCTGACTCAAAAAAAAACATTTTTTTAATTACAAATAGGCCGGATGCATTGGCTCACGCCTGTAATCACAGCACTTTGGGAGGCCAAGGTGGCTGATCACTTGAGGTCAGGAGTTCGAGACCAGCCTGGCAAAACCCCATCCCTACTAAAAATGCAAAAGTTAGCCAGGCGTGGTGGTGTTGCACTTGTAATCACAGCTACTCGGGAGACAGAAGAATCACTTGAATCCGGGACGCAGAGGTTGCAGAGAGCCAAGATCACACCACTGCACTCCAGCCTGGGCGACAGACCCAGATTCCTTCTCCAAAAAATATAAAATAAAATAAAATAAAATAAAATAAAAAATAAAACATCCTCCTTCTGCCTTCTGCCACAACCCAAGTGTCACGACAAAAGGCTTGTCTTCCACAGGCTCTGAAAACCCCACCTCTCAACTTTCTCTGAGTATTCAGTTCTGCACCAGAGACACGGACCCTGTGAGCAAACTTCCTTCTTCCATGTAACAGTGACCTAGACGGCTCCACCCTCTAAACAGCCCAACCTCCCCAGGCTTCACTTAGGGACCCTCATCTAATCAGATCTCCCGACCTCCCAATAAAGGATCTCTTCTTAGAGAGATCCTAGCTGTGGACAACCAGGAGATCCCTCCCTTCTGGCAAGGAGCCTAAACTCTCAGCAGCCCCCCCCACCCCCACCTCAGAGATCAGGAACCTTCACTCGCCGTCTAACTCCCACCTGAGGTTTAGGTCTGGAGTACTGCAACCCAAAAAAGCTTCGTTTCAGCCTCCCCCTCCCCAGTCCGGCAGAGTCCATCCACCTCCACCTTCTCCCCTAAAACCCAGCCAGCTGGCCCCACAGCTTCTGGGAAACTCAGCTCCCTGATCCCCAACTGTTCAGTAGGAACCCCAGGCCCTTCCCCTGAACTCTCTAGGCCTCACGGTCCTGTTTTTATTTTATTTTATTTTAGAGACAGAGTTGCTCTACCACCTAGGCTGGAGTGCAATGGTGCGATCTTGGCTCACTGCAACCTCTGCCTCCTGGATTCAAGTGATCTGCCTCGGCCTCCCGAGTAGCCGGGATTGCAGGTGCCCACGACGATGCCTGGCTAATGTTTGTATTTTTAGTAGAGACGGGGTTTTATCATGTTGGCCAGGCTGGTCTCAAACTCCTGATCTCAAGTGATCCGCCCACCTCGGCCTCCCAAAGTGCTGGGATTACAGGCCTGAGTTACCACGCCCGGCCCTCACCGTCCTGTTAGAAGGGCTCAGACCTCTGGCCCTGGGCCCTCAGCCTGAAGCATCCCAGATGCCCCAGACTCTAGGAAACCAACTTCCTTCTTTTGTCCCTGGGAAACCTACAGCTTTCACCTCCTTGTCCAATGACCCCCATGAATCCAGTGCTGGTCTCTCAGAAACCAGGTGCCCAGTTCTCTCTTTAGGCTGGAAACTGTCTTATCTCTCCGCCACACCACTAAACCAGAGGCCTCTCTCAGCCACAGGGAAGTGACTTCCTCCTTTCAGCGCCAGGCACTGCAGGCAGCAGCAGAGGCCTAACCTCTTCCCCTGTCCCAGGACAGCAGCTCCCTGAGGCCAGAAAGCCAGGGCAACTCACTTCTCACCCTTAATATGATAGACACCTCAGTGTCTGGAGCCTATTCCTTGGAGCCCAAGCTTCCCGATCCTTCTCCCGGGAACTAGGAGTCCAGCCCCCAGCCCCTCCTCCCTCGGACCCAGGAGTCCAG